CACCTAACATACCCTGGTTAGGAACTGAGATTTTTAAAAAGTATTTCAATATTTTTCTCCATTGTAATATTTGAGTTCTCTTTCTCTTTCTTTTTTTTTTTTTTTTTTTTTTTTTGAAGCTTAAATTTTAATTCATATCTGACTCCAAAGGCTTGATCTGCTCTTCACATATCACCACCTGGCCTTCCTAGTCAGCCAGATCCTAATTAGTGCTCAGATCTTTAAATATTTAGTTCTCGACATTATGGAGGCCCCTGATTAACCCCCAAGGCATCCTTCACACCGACCTTTCAGGTATCTGTCTCAGAAAAGTTTGTGAGTACTCCCTGCACCTGCATGAGGCAGATTTACAAGGCAGGAAGGTTAGGACCCCCACTAAAGTATTGATTTCTGGAGAATAGGGGCCCCCCTTCAAGCTCTGCCTTTCTCATGTACCCTCAAACCTGAGCCAGGCAGGATAATGCTGTGGTAGGCAGATAATAGACCCCCACCCTTGCCCCCCAGCAAATGTTTATGTCCTAATCCCTGGAAACTATCAATATGTTACCTGGCAGGGAAGAATTAAAGTTGTAGAAAGAATTAGGTTGTTAACCAACAGTAAGATAAGGAGAGAGTCCAGTAAATATGAAAGAGGGTAATAAAGTGATGCAATCTGAGAAAGATTGGCCCTTGCTGACCTTGAAGGTAGAAGGGGCCAGAAGCTGGAAGAGGTGGCATTCCCACCCAAGGCCTCTAGAAAGGAACACAGCCCTGCTGACATTGAGTTCCATCTCAGACTTCTGACTGCAATTGTAATAAACTTCAGTTGTTTTTAGCCACTACGTTTGTGGTAATTTGTTACAGCTGCAATAAGAAATTAACGCAAAGGCCAACCTCACTTCCTTAAGGCCTGGCTTACCATCAGCCCAAGAGCTTGTGGGTGGAGAGGAGCCAGCATCAACCCAAGTGTCCGTAGGTGCTCTGGCCAGGATAGCACTGGTGAAGGGGTGGAGCAGAAGGGAGGCCTGGAAGGAGGTGAGCTCTAGCCCCAGGTATGGCCGGGATCCGTGGATTGAGCTCCAACCTCCAAACTATGGTGTGAGGCCACACCCTTCAAGAAGGTGAAGTGACCAGGTGAAAGACCACGTCACCTTGTTGGAGTATGTGATCTCGTTTGTAAAATATGGGCAGCTAAACCTGCCCTACCTGCAGGGTGTCATGAGGACAAAAAGAGTGGGTACAAGAGAGTGTACTCATTACTGCTGTACACATTTTCAGTTCTAGGGAGTGAGTGATAGAGTTAGTACCTCAGTACTATGGAAGAAGTTGGACCCACTAGTATTATTTTTTACTAATAGGCATGTCACTTTCAACATTTATTTCTAAATTTGCAATTAACAAGAAAATCCAGTTAAATAGAACAACTCATTGACTCAAAGGACAATTGATGTTTGACTATTTCATGGGATCATACCATGTTAGCAGCCAAAGAGGACTTGAATGATGACCTCATCCATTTTTCAGACAAAGAAACAGATTCAGGTTGTGGAAAAGTAAGAAGTTCAAACATTTAGATATATAGTTCCCTGATGAGTGGCAGCAAAACCAAAGCCCAGTCTTTATGAATTCCTTCCAAGACGTTAAAGACATGGAGTCATTTAAAATAGAAACTCAGCTCAAACCAAGCCAAGCTTTCTCCCCTTCTGCAGCTCCCAGAATGATAGCTTAGGTGTGTAAAGGGCCCTAGCTGTTTCAGCCTTGGCTGTTAGTACTCTGTTTTGCCTCCCCCTCCTCCCTGACAGATTTTAACTGAAAGAAGTGACTGATCACTTTACGTCATGGCAGGCCTTCAGGAGTTGGGTTCAGGGCATTGTGCACCCCCATTCCTGCCACCCACCTCGCCACTGTGTGCATTGCTCTCAAAGGCAGCACCTGGATAACGCTCTTAGTAAGCCCAGGCACATAAGTCAGGGAAGCCCGGCCAATATAGGCGAGGTGTGTCCCTATCACCCATTGCCAGTGATAACTCTGTGAGCCGACTGTGTCACACACAGGCAGAGAGGCCAATGCAGGCTTATGAGTCCTGACAGCCCTCATGCTTTGCTGGACAAGCCAGCGTAAATCCTCAAGGCCAAAGAGGCACAGTATCTATTGAGGTTGGAGTCAGGTGAACCACCATAGCAGCAGTCTTCTGATTGAGAGCAAGCCACCCTGGGGCTTCTTTTTCCCCCCTCTGTCAAATGATAGACCGGACAAGGGCTACGTTTCTTTCTAGGCTTTTCTAGAAGTGGGGATTACATCAGTCCTTGTATTGGAGGTTTTGTTTATTTTAACTAAGGAAGTGGAAAGCTGATGGTCAGGAGTTCTCATTTGAGAAATGTGAATTATTTTATTTTTGATTATAAAAGTAATTCGTGCTTGGTATAAAAAAAAAAGTACAACAAGGCAGAAGTATATAAAAGAGAAAGTAAAATCTCTCCCACAACCAGCACTAAGTTATCAGGCCCCTGATATTGTTCCCCCATCCCCTAAACAGAGGCTACTGGTGCTCCCATTAGTCATCTTTCTTGAGGAGGCAGTTAAAATTCTGAAACTCAGTCTTTGCTGGTATTAACGGTTCTAACAGTTGGTGGAATAGAAGAGTAACATTGGTAGGAGCTTTTTTACCCTTCTAAAAATTCAAATTCCTATAGTATAGCCCAACTTTCAAATCCACGTGAAGAAGTTAAATTTCAATACTTAATAGAAATAACATACTATTATTAGAATAATGTAAAAATTATGGAATACAAAAGAATAAAATACATTAAAAAGTTAACAGAAGTTTTACTGAGATGACAAGACTTTGGGGGATTGTTTTGTTTTTTTTTTAATTTTTTTTAATGTTTATTTTTGAAGGAGAGAGAGAGACGGCGTGAGCTGGGAAGGGGCAGAGAGAGAGGGAGACACAGAATCTGAAGCGGGCTCCAGGCTCTGAGCTGTCAGCACAGAGCCTGATGAGGGGCTCAAACCCACGGACTGTGAGATCATGACCTGAGCTGGAGTCAGAGGCTTAACTGACTGAGCCACCCAGGCTCCCTGGGGGATTGTTTTCTGATTTCTTCCTAGATTGGGGTATTGCATTTGCATTGGTTGTGTAATGAAAAAAAAATGTTTTAAGAAAAACATTCCTGATAATGACGTACTAGTACAATTGATTGGATTCAAACCAAACAGCCCAATAATGGACACTTACATACAAAATGCCATGAACCCAGAGAAGTAAAGAATCGTCTCTAAATTAGAAATCAAGGAAAGCTACATGCAGGCAGTCAAATTTGAGCATGGTCTTTGAAATGGGTGGGGTTTTTCATATTCAGAGTTTGAGGGGGCATTTTAAGTGGAGCGAAGGCCATAAGGACAGGACACGTCAGGAAGAACAAAGAGTCTAGTTTGGCTGGAGCATACAGTACATGTAGGGGAAGGGACAGATAAGACTGGCACCAGGGTGGGGGCACTTGAATGTCAGGCCACAAAGTTGAAGCTTAACGATGGGTGATGGGGCTGGGGGTGGGGGCTTTGAGCAGGAATTGTGATATAATCAATGTTGGCTTAGAACAGTTCCTTTGGCCAAGCTGAGTGTTCGGAAGGGGGCAGTTGGGGAAGACGAGGATGGGAAGATGAACCCCAGATGAATGCTAAGTGAGGCTTGAGCTTAGCAGGTGGCATCAGAAGGAAGACAGGTGTGACACTTTATAGAAATAGCCTCAGTACATTAGGGGCCTAGGATTGAGTGAGATGAATTCAAACCTTTTTTCTTTTTTTCTTTTAGAGAGAGTGAGAGTGTGAGTGGGGGAGAGGGACAGAGGGGGAAAGAGAATTTTAAGCAGGCTCCATGCTCAGCAGAGCCCAACACAGATTCCACGGCCCTGGGATTATGACCTGAGCCAAAATCAAGAGTAGGATGCTCAACCAACTGAGCCACCCAGGTGTCCCTCAGTGAGATTAATTCAAATCCCACTTTCCCTCATCATTACTTAGTTCCCTGAGCTTGTCTCTTCCTCTACAAAATGGGCATAAGAATAATTAAGTCATGGCGTTGCTGCCCATGCACTTATTCTAAAGCATTTGGCACAGCTCTGGCACATGGTGCCAGTATACCTGGAATTAGGGAGGAAACTGGTGTTCACACAGTGACTAGCAAGGGAGATAGTGCAGCAGCTAGGAACAGGGCATCTGGAGGTATAGACTGGATTTGGATCTCAAAGCTACTACTTACAACCTACTTAGCCCCTATCTCCGTTTCCTTAGCTGTAAGTGGGCACAGTATTACCTCCTCAAGGAGCTGCTGTGAGAATAGAGTCGGATGGTACATGTACAGTGTGCAGTATATACCTAATACTTTCTCAGAGCCCCATAAATGTTATAATCGGGTGAGGGGTGGGGATGTGGAACTGAAGAGATTTGCCCTTTCCATCTGCAGTGGCACGCTATACAGAGGTAGAGACACACAGCAGGGATTGGACATGAAGCCAGAACTTGGGAAGAAAACGTGAGGCTGGAGGCAGTCAGGAGTCACTGGCACAGAGGCAGATGAGCCAAGAATGAGCGCATAAATTGGCTTAAGGAAACAATCAGACAAACCCAGAATAAAGGGCATTCTAGAAGCCAGAGGGCTGGGACTCTCAAAAAGTGTCATGGAGGGGCGCCTGGGTGGCTCAGTCGGTTAAGCGGCCGACTTCGGCTCAGGTCATGATCTAGCGGTCCGTGAGTTTGAGCCCCGCGTTGGGCTCTGTGCTGACAGCTCAGAGCCTGGAGCCTGTTTCAGATTCTGTGTCTCCCTCTCTCTGACCCTCCCCCCTTCATGCTCTGTCTCAAAAATAAATGTTAAAAAAAAAAAAAGTGTCATGGAAAAAAAGTAATAAGGGAGCTATTCTAGACCAAAAGAGACTAAAGTTATCAAAAAGTAATGTATGAACCTTGATTGGACCCTGTTTTGTAAGAAAGATAAAAAGACATTTTTGAGACAATGGGGAATTTTGATTAAGGACTCTGTATTAGAGGCTATTAGGATATATAGACTGAAATACTTCGGGATGAAATGCCATGTATGTTTGGGATAGAGGGCAGAGAAAATAAGGCAATATGTTAAGTGTTCAGTCTAGGTGGAGGGTATACGTGGGTGTTCATTTTACTAGCAAGATGAAGGCTGAAAACAAATTATATTCAGCTTACGGGTCCAGTGTAGAATGGGAAGCTGACCTCCAGGAAAGGACTTAAGTATGGGGAGGAAATACAGGCAGCAAGGGTAACTGGACTCCTCTTGGGTAGTGTTAAGCTGGGGACAGTCAAGCTGGGCAAATCTTTCTTTTTAGTACAAGGGGAGACTTGTTGCTGAGGAACCAGAGTAGTCTGGGGAAGAGAGGGAATGAGTCAGAGGAAAGGAGAAACGGTAATGGAGCAAAGGTCCAGTAAAGGTGGAAGAGGAATGGAGGCAAACGGGAAGAAGTAAAGGTGACCTCAGATGGGAGAGAGGTCTTCTCTTGTGGCCCAGAAGTGAGGACTGTTTTGTGGGGAACCAAGCTCCCTTCCTAAGGAGGGAGGAGCTCATGTTTTGCTAGTAAGGAAGCGCAAGGCACAAACGCACCACAGCTGCCACTGGGTCTTCAACGGAAAGGGAACAGCTGGGGTGCGCTCTCTTCAAGCTGGGGAGCAAACAGGGGTTCTCCCAGATTGCTCTGATGAGGCACTAGGATGACAGGGTAAAGAACAGTTGTGGAGGCTAAATGGCCCCCTTTTCAGAACCTCGTGCCTGGCAAAACCAACTTGCCAAAGATTTATTCATGAGGAAACGAATAAAACTCTCCTTGGATAAAACGCTCGATCCTCATTTCCGTGCTCCCTCCACCCTGGGTTGCCCTGGCGGGTGTGCAGCCACGTGGTGTGGCAGTCTTTAGTACGTATGGAAGTTACAGGACTCCGGGTAATATAGGACGGAGCTGTCCTTCCGAAACGAGTTGCAGGAAAACCACCTCCTTGCACCGAAGCCCAACAGCAAAGGAGGCCCCTGGAGCTAGTGCTCCCAGGCATCCCGGGGCGTGGCGGGGCACAGAGCGTTAAGTGATTTTTGGTTCTACTCTGGTTTCCTAAGTGCTTCTCAAGGGTCCACATTTGGAGATCTTGGTGGGCCTGAGATTCAGCTCCCAGGTGAGGCTGATCCGTGGACCACTCTTGGAGTAGCGCTGGCACGGGAGGGGTTGGGAGTGGAAAGCGGCCCAGACCTACAGGACCTTGGTAATTATGTAGCCGTCCCTCTCCCCCAAGGGCTCTTCTTTGAGCGGAGTCTGCAGCGGAGTAGAGGCCAAGGCCAGGGCGCCTTCGCGGCGGCTCACTTCCCGCAGCCGCCCCTGCAGCGCCTCCCTCTCGGCCTGCAGCTCCCGCCGCGCCTGGGCCGCCGCGCGCTCCTCCTCCTGCAGGGCCCTGCGCCTCAGCTCCAGGGCGCGCTCGCCCTGCTCCACCGCCGCCTCGCGCCGCGCCAGCTCGCGCTCGCGCAGGCTGCAGCGCACGGCCAGCGCGCCCATCTGCTCCAGCAGGCGCGCCCAGTCGCCCTCGG